GCTGAGGCTCAGACATGGAAATCTACTTCTGATGCCGATAAGGCTAAGCTCAAAAGTGCTCAAGTAGAAGTTGCTCGACACCTGGAGAACTTGAGAGGCACGCACACCGTGGCCAAGTGCCTGGAGAAGGAGAAGTTCGTGCTGATGAAGCATAACGACAACCTCGAACGCCTCCGAGATGACCTGGAGGGCAAACTGAAGGCTCGAGATGGTAGATCTGAAGGCCAAGCTTGAGCTATCAGAGTCCAAGCTTAGCAACAGAGTTCTGCTGGAGGAAGCTTTTCGCCTGAATCCTGATTTTGATGGGTTTGCCAAGGATTTTAGCGAGGCTAGCTTCAAATTCCTGATGAAGGGAGTCCAAAAAGTGGCCCCCGAGCTCGACCTTACACCCATCAAACTGCGATATGCAGAGAAGTGGGCTTCGAGTCCTAATGGACCCCTGGCTCCCAGCACCGCGTCGATCAATGCTTGAAGAAGCTTGATTCCGATGCCGAGCTCGACGAGGAAGAGGCCGATGACTCTTCTTCCCAAGACGCTGACGAGACTATTCCTTCTGCTGCCGGTGTAAACTCCTCCTAAGAAGCTGGGGTGATAGACTCCCAGGAGGTTGACATCCTTGGGTCCCAGGGAAAGCTCGGATCACACCTCGGAAGCAGCTAAAGCTCCTCCTCTTTCACAGCCTTTCTTGTGTTATTTTTAATTTTTTTTCTTTTTGTACTTGGTCGCGAGGCCTATACACCTCGGCCAACACTTCTCTTTGCTAATACAATTTCGAATCAATTTTTGACTATGTTACTCATTCCGTACTTGCGAATCTATTAGGGTTCAGATAAATTCTTAATAACAAAATAATTATTGAATTATTTTAGCTCGTCTCTTACCTCGAACTCGTAAGTTCTTTCTAGAGATTTTAAGTCTTACTAAGTTTTAATCCTCACCTCTAACCCCCATTTAATTTCACATCGAACTTGATCCTTTAGGAGACATGAAATTAATAATACGGAGTCTTTTACTGGGATTAGCCCTTGAAAATTTTTACGAGTTCAATTCATCTTTAGACCATTTTACATTTCAAGGGTAATATCTCTTCAAGTGTTCTGCATTCCATGGATGCGACAGTAACTTTCCTTCGAAGTCGGCAAGCATGTATGTTCCAGGTCGGACAATGCCTTTGACTTTGAATGGCCCCTCCTAGCTCGGTTCCAACACCTCGACGTGCTTCTGTACCTTGCGAAGGACTAGATGTCCGATCTGGAAACTCCGAGGTCGAACTCTCGAGTTATAATGCCTTGCCATTCGGTTTTGGTACTCGGCCAAGCGTAGCTGGGCTACTTCCCTTTTCTCCTCGACGAGGTCGAGGTTCAAGAGTAGCTCCTCTTTGTTCCTAACATGTTCGTAGTACTCAACCCTTTCGATTGGCATACCAATCTCGACGAGCACTATGGCCTCGAAGCCAAAGGCCATACCGAATGGGGTTTCGCCAGTTGACTCCTGCGGCGTAGTCTGATAGGACCAGAGTACTTCAGGTAGCTCCTCCGCCCACCGTCATTTCCTTGCGTCTAACCTTAGCTTAAGCCCGCGCTTGATGATTTTGTTGATTGCCTCTACTTGTCCGTTGACCTTGGGATGAGTTGGGGATAAGCAGAGGTGACTAATTCTGAGCTTGCGGCAAAAGTCTTTAAACTTGGCGTTGTCGAATTGTTTGCCATTATCTGTCACAATGGCGTTGGGTATGCCGAAGCGACACATAATGTTTGTCCAAATAAAGCTTGTGACCCTAGCCTCCGTGATTGTTGAAAGTGCTTCAGCCTCAACCTATTTGGTGAAGTAATCTACTGTAACGACTGCGTACTTGGTCTGTCCCTTGCCCAACGGGAAAGGTCCAATAAGGTTAACTCCCCATTGCACAAAGGGTCATGGTGCCGAGATCGGAGTCAGCAGCTCGACAGGTTGGTGGACGAGGTTTGCAAAGCGCTGACAGTTGTCACATGCTTTCACAAATTCCTTTTCATCTCGATCAATCGTGGGCCAGTAGTATCCTTGACGAACGACTTTCACTGACAAAGACCTAGCTCCTGAATGGTTATCGCAGATGCCTTCATGAACTTCCCTAAGAACATATTCTTCATCCTCCTTGGAAATACACTTAAGGAGGGTAGGGAAAAACAACGCCGGTATAGTGTTTCATCTCGGAGCACGTACCGAGCTGCTTTCCTTGTCATCCTCTTGGTCTCCTTTGAGTCTGTCGAGACCTTTCCCTCCAGGAAATCCTTTATCGGATCCATCCACGACGGGGGGTGAGAGTCGACCTCCATCATGTCTGGCTCCAAGATAGAAGGATTGTCCAAAATCTCCACGGGGACCGACCTCGCCATATCGGTCTCGTATGCTGACGCTAATTTGGCCAAGACGTCTGCATTGGAGTTTTGTGACCTCAGAATCTGACTAATTTCACAGGCTTGGAAGTAGGCGAGGTGCGACCTGACCTTTTCCAGATATTTCTCCATCCGAGGGTCTTTCGTCTGATATTCTTCTTTGATCTGATTCACTATCAATTGTGAATCACTGAAAATTAGAAGATGGGTGGCCCCTAGCCCTCTTGCCATGCGCAGTCCGGCCAACAAGGCTTCGTACTCGGCCTCATTGTTCGAAGTGCGAAAGTTGAAGCGTAGGGCGTATTCAAA